GATAGATAGATAGATAGATAGATAGATAGATAGATAGATAGATAGATAGATAGATAGATAGATAGATAGATAGATAGATAGATAGATAGATAGATCAAGTGCCAGGAAAATCAGGAGATTCAGGCAGTTCAAATGAGTATCAAGATTAATTGCAAGCTTCGGTTCACTACAAGAACCTGACCTACTAACGGATCAATTGGAAATGAGCGGGAGATAAGATAAGAAAGGCATTTATGGTGGGCTGGATTTAGATTTAGATCTCTTGCGGGCGCGCAGGGATTTGCGACTGATGACGCGTTTGATGCCTCCCTCAGGCACAGCCTGGTTCTCTCTTACTATAGATGGATGGATGGATGATAGATGATAATAGACAAATGATAGATAGAAAGACAGATAGATACAGATACAGATAGATTAGATAGATAGATAGATAGATAGATAGATAGATAGATAGATAGATAGATAGATAGATAGATAGATAGATAGATAGATAGATTAGATAGAGAGACAGAGACAGAGACAGAGATTAGGTGATAGAGATAAATAGAAGACAGAGCATAAAGATTTAGTGCAAGTTTAAGCTCTCTACAAAAATCTGACCTACTAACGGTCAGGGGAAATTACTGGGAGATTAAAGACGGGCTGAATGTCGATCTCTTGTGAGCGTGCAGGGACTCACGTCTGATAACCTGTTTGATGCCTCCCTTGGCGCCAGCCCGGTCGTCTCCCCCCCCAACGCTGCTGACTGGTCCCCTTCTTCTCTCCCCTCCCCCCCGCTTTGGGTCATAGGTCCCGAACGGAGGATCGTCCTGGTGGGCAAAACCGGCAACGGGAAGAGCGCGACGGGAAACACCATCCTGGGAAGCACTGTCTTTAAATCGAAGGTGTCTTCCGTTTCCGTCACCAAACGTTGCCAAAAGGAGGAGACGCAGGTGAACGGCCGGAAGGTGGTGGTGGTCGACACGCCCGGCTTCCTCGACACCAGGTGTTGCAAGTCAGCAACGGCGGCCGAAGTGAAGAAGTGCGTGAGCTTTTGCACCCCGGGCCCGCACGTCATCCTGCAGGTGATGCACCTGGGCCGTTTCACCCAGGAGGAGCAGGACGTGGCTCAGCTGATCAAGGAGATCTTCAGCCTCAACGCCAAGAACTACATGATCCTCCTGTTCACCCGGAAGGAGGACCTGGAAGGGGAGGCGCTCGACCAGTTCATCTCCGAGGGGGACCGCGCCCTGAAGGAGCAGGTGAAACTGTGTGGGGACCGCTACCTGGCTTTCAACAACAAGGCCCAAGGGGCGGAGCGAGAGGCGCAGGTGGCCCAGCTGATGGAGATGATTGACGGGCTGGTGAAGGAGAACCGGGACGCGCCTTGTTACACGGAGGAGATGCTGGTGGCCGACAAGGAGAGCTTCAAGAGCAGACTGGACCTTTCCTGGTTGTGTCCACTTCTTTAAGGGACGCCGGAAAAAATCTCCATGACGGCAACTCTGGAAAGGGTCCCTGCTCTGCTACTCCCTCCCTCCTTCCTTCCTTCCTTCCTTCCTTCCTTCCTTCCTTCCTTCCTTCCTTCCTTCCTTCCTTCCTTCCTCCCTCTCTCCCTTCCTTACTCTTTCCCCTTCCTTCCTTCCTCTGTCCCCTTCCTTTCTTTCTCCCTCCCTCCCTTTCCTTTTCCTCCATTCCTTCCTCTCCTTCCTTCCTTCCTTTCTCCCTTCCTCCCTCTCTCTCTTCCTTCCTTCCATCTTTCCTTCCTTCCTTCCTTCCTTCCTTCCTTCCTGTCCCCTTCCTTCCTTTCTTTCTCCCTCCCTCTCCCTTTCCTTTTCCTCCGTTCCTTCCTCTCCTTCCTTCTTTCCGCTGTCTCCCCTTTCTTTCTTTCTTTTTCTTTCTTTCTCTCTCTTTCTTTTTCTTTCTTTTTCTTTCTTTCCTTTCTTTCTTCCTTCCTTCCTTTCTTTTTTTCTCTTTCCTTCCTGTCTGTCTCTGTCTGTCTATCTATCTATCTAATCTATTATTTCTATCTTCTACCAACCCTTCCTTCCTTTTCTTTTTCTTTCTCTTTTTTTCTCTTTTTCTTTCTTTTTCTTATTTTTTCTTTCTTTCTTTCTTTCTTTCTTCCTTTCTTTTTCTTTTTTTCTCTTTTCTGTCTGTCTGTCTATCTGTCTGTCTATCTATCTATCTATCTATCTATCTATCTATCTATCTATCTATCTCTATCTAATCTACTATTTCTATCTATCTACCAACTCTTCCTTCCTTTCCTTCCTTCCTCTCTTTTTCTTTCTTTCTTTTTCTTTCTTTCTTTCTTTCTTTTTCTTTCTTTCTTTCTTTCTTTCTTACTCGTTCCTTCCTTCCTTCCTGTTTGTCTGTCTGTCTGTCCATCCATCCATCCATCCATCCATCCATCCATCCATCCATCCATCCATCCATCCATCCATCTATCTATCTATCTATCTATCTATCTATCTATCTATCTATCTATCTATCTATCTATCTCTTCTCTTTCTCCAACATGTCCCCCCCGCGTAAAACAGACTTGACCAGAGGGCGTGGTCACTCGGAAAACGACGGAGCCCCGTTGAGTGGGGTATTTAGCACCCATCAATCAACCGATTGACCAGGTGTCAGAAGCCATATATCTCTAAGGTCCCTTATCCTTCCCCCCCCTCCTCCTCCATTTATTTGCGTCTGCCTTTCCTCCTGACCCAAATCTCACTCTCTTCGATTCCTGGGTCCTGCCCTACTCCCAGGGGGGGGGGAGGAGGGGGGGAGGTGCTTGAGGGTTATTGCCTTGATTTCCTCTCTGGCGACACTGTGTAACCCTTTGCTTTCCTGCGTTATCCTTCTGTGAACTTTCCCATCCCTGAATGTCAGCCAGCAAAGGGAGGGGAAGAAAGGAAGGCAACCTCCGGCAACCCATTTATCTACGGGCTCCCGGGAGAAGGAGAAGGGGCGACGAGAGCGCCAAAACATCGCAGCTACAACTGGAGACGGTCTGGTGTGATCTCCCC